TCTTCAGGTCTTTGAGTTCCATTGACACCTCCCACCTCAAAAAATGAAACAGATTTCCGCTGTGCTTCCCCTCTTAATGCATTATAAATCATCAGGAATGCTCTTTGATTATCGTATGCGAACGTATTCCAATCCATGCGGAAAACACTTAGGACTGCTCGTCTCCATGCCGGGTAGCTTTGTCGGTTTCCCTCGTAGATAGGTAGTTTTGTTGGTTCGAGACCAAACACGTCATGAATTGCTGGGTTTTTTATAATGACCACTTCCGTAGAGGTCGCAGACATACCGCTGGCAGCTTTCTGTGCATTTAAAGCGTCTATCTGCTCTTGAAGATGTGATATACTTAGCTCATATCTAGCATTGTTACGCTCATCTTGCATTCCTGGTTCAGATGCCACTTTGAAAATTCGTTATGTTCAAATATCCCGGGAATTTTATTTTATTTTCTAATGAGCTTTGTTTCCGTCGTCGTCGTCGTCGTTATTTTCGTCGTCGTTATTCTAGGGCTAAGCCTATCGTCGTCTCAGGAGCTCACTTATGACTACTCCTATTTCTATTCTTCGTCGTATATGGATAAAGACTCAAGCTTATCCCTTCTCTCGTAGCTATTATTTAGTGGGCTCGGCCTCACCTAGATTTCTTCTCTTAAAGAGGCGGAATTAATTTTTTTTTTGTTAAAGGATAATTATTATATGTCACGGTTTCCGGGGACAAGAGCTGGGGCAACTATGTGGTCGATGGTAGTAAATAATAATTCTAAGGAGAGAACTTCCACTATATCTATCTATTCATTTATATACGTGAAAGCCACATCGCCACCGAGGCTAATCCCCCTCCTGTTCCTATGCTGTGGGACTCCCCTAGTGTTCTGACTATGCCTGTAATACAGTACTATCGTGTTATGGTCCGGAGGGATTGTACTAGGTCTCGTACATTCCCAGTCAGTGTAAGCATATGAACATGTGGTGCAGTGCCGTACTGCCGTGCCGCACTGCCGGGTCCGATGCCATGTGAATAACATGCAAATTCCGACGCAATAGTATTGTATTGGGTGGCGTCGCACATTAGAAAATTGGTATTGATTAATTACGCCACTCTAATTAGGCCTAAGTTAACCAACAATGGCTACAGGGACCAATCGGCTTACCAGCCGTTACAGGTGCGGAGCTTTTCTAATACCGACATTAGGACTTAATCCGAAGACATAGTGACCCTTTTGAAGCGTTCGAAGAGGCCGGCCAGCTGGGCGCTGCAGACTTGTGGGTACCTCGGGAAATTCACACTTTGCCATTCTAGCCTCCTTCCAACTCCTTCCCGAAGGTCGGGCTGAAATGTCAGAAAAGTCTTGACAGAGCGTGATTGCTGTATAGTAGCTTAGCCCAACTTCTTCTGTGCCGTCCAGGGCGCTGGGAAGTGCCGTTTGTTGTAATTAAAGCAGCAAGATGACTGCAGCAAACAAATAGTACATATTAGAATAATATGCACTGGCGCCATGAGATATGATTAACCCATATCATCACTCACTGGCATGAATAGTAATTGGCCAATAGATGCCTAACAGCATACATTGGCTTCAGGATCTCCAACAACCTTCCCGTTTAGGTTAGATTAGGGAGTATGTTGGAGTTCACACTAGTGTGCGGAAAACCCCGCTTACATGTATATAGAGGGACTTCTCGCCACACATACAGAATTATAGCAATTTAATCACAATTAACTATCCATTAAACATCAGTAAACTTATTCGTATAGCAAACACATTTATCGTATCTCTTAATCAAACTTGAGGCTAGTGTGTAATTCTTCCAATCTCCGGAACTAATTTCAATTCCGTTGACTCATCGACAAAAGAAGCCCTCCTGGCTAATTAGCCGAAATCTCGGTCTTGGCGCTCATAAAAGATCCAAAGTTGAAAACTCCTCGAAAATGTCAGTCCCAGCATAGTCTTCAGAGACCTCTTTCCCCTCTCGCTCCACATCTCAGCCGCCTGTCCTTCCTCAAGATGTATAACCCCATTAGAGCAACAGTCCCCCATAAGCCAAGACCCAGGCTTTGTATATTTCGACTTGATTTCCTCCTTGCGGGTATAAATAGCGTCGTAGATATGTAGTGAGAGACGGCTGGAAATTGATGGGTCAAGCTCCTGTTTGCAATTGGAGCAACTTCTTTATTGGTCGTTGAGGCGAGATGATCCGTGGTTAGAAAGAGGTTGTGGACTTAGATGAGAATAGTAAGAGAGGCATTGTCGAGAAGTCGTCAAATGGAGATGTGCTTGAGGTTTCTTTCGACTTCGATTCGGATGCGATTCTTCTTGGCTATCCCAGATATGCAGAGCATACTGAACGATTACACCGGTACCACTGGAAGGTGAAGAATGCGTCTTTACCGGCTCAAATCATGTTTAGCTTTGCTAGTTTTCCTTCAGGAAGTGTTACAGGCTAGCGCCTTATTTAGTCATAAACGGAGTCTATCCGGTTCATTTATCGAGAAGTCTTAGAGTACATGGCTTGGCTGGATTAAGGAGTTGTGTAAAGGATAACTCCTGCATAAATCCATACGCGACGCGCGGTATTGAGTAGATAAGGATGTAGTCTTCGTAGTACTTCTTCGGTTTAGTTTAGTTTAATTTATCATGCCAGGCTTACACCCTCCATCCAATGGACATGACACGCATGGAGGACATCTAGAATACAAGTTCCTCCATTCTCCAGCAAAGCCCATCTGGTGCCTGACTTTTCCAAATACGTGCCTCACGCTAGTTACATCGGGTCGAATAGGTAGGAACGCATTCACCATGATCCTATGACCATGCATTGAGGGAAAACCTTCGTGGGAAAACCTCAATAATTCCTCCTGTACTATTTCACGACCAGCAGCCGTAGTCCCCCCCTAAACAGGCCGTTTAGAAATCCAACCTACCACTTCTAGAAAGCACGTCGAGCACCCGACCAACTGTGCCAACAGCCTGTTGAAAATCACAAATCGTTCTTCCCGAATTTTCCCCTGCATTGCGCTCAACCCCTATTTGAGATGACTGAAATTCCGAAATCGAGAGCTCAAAACCGAGGCATCGGTGCCCCAGCTTTTGTCGTACATTGTTCGTTGTCTGAGTAAGGCTTCTTCGTTCGCGCCCTCTTTGGAATGTGTCGAAAAGCTGAGAATGTTAATGTCGCGGTCGAGGTGCTTGTCTAAAATAAGGCCGAGCAATTGCCCAGTCCTGCACACAATGATAGTAAGGTTAGTACTTCTTTATATTAGATTATATTTTATTATAGTCCTTTTTTGTTTTATTTGCATCAGACTTTAATTGCGTATGCAGCTATCTAGCTATGACACAATATCAAAGAAAAGTACAGAAAAGATGACTCAATTTACGAGAGGGGCACTCATGCCTCGGATTTCATTTGCAAGTACCACTGCGAAGTTATGGTGGCTTTTTCTTCACTCCAAGTTAACCATCATCCGTGAATACCCACCCATGGGAACGTCTCAAAAACCCTGAATTATCCAGACATGCCTCCATCATCTTTCAACTTTTCTCCGCGCGATATGTGATCTGAGGTGTCTCCTTCCCAAGTGGATTAGGTGCCCAGGCTACTCAAACCATACCAGAGAACACCACCAGGAGGCGGATCACTACACCTTCCATCGTCTGCTTGTTTTTTTAGTGTGAGCTGCACTCTCGCAAGCGAAGCCTTGGCACGCACAAAGCTCAACTCGTAAAACTCCATGCCAAAATTCGAAATTTCACGCCCGTCGAAAACGTATCCCTCTTCTGCATCATCTTGTAAACTTGTCCTGATCCCTCTCACGTCCATCCCAAAGAGCTATCTCCCAGATTTGTGCTCCACGCTTTGCTTCCTCCGTCGGGTATAAATATCGGCGTGGGCGTGTATTTGGTGACCCGCTGAGGCCAGAGAAAGTCGACGAGAGGTGTGGTCATTGAAACGAGGATGTAGTATGTCGTACTTGTAGACTTGATGAAGCTTGGTTGAGAATCGGACTCTGAGGGAGTGAAAGATTGACATGGTGGAGTAATTCGAATTTTTGCCTCGTGGGCCAACTTCTTTGATATTGCGAAATTTGACTGAACTTGGCTCTGGGAGAATATTTCACTCTCAGGTTCGTAGAGGACACCGCGTACAGGTGTTCAGTCTTGCTCTCCTGAGGATTTGTACGTACCTCAGAGATACAATGTACATATTTATAGCCTTCTTTTGAGTTACTTCGTTATTCGGTTCTCGGAATAAGTTGGAGGCTGTATCAAAATGCGAGAATTTTCCAAACAGAGCACGAGAAATAAACTAGCCTGATCTGAGATTTCTTCGGCGTCTTGAGTGAAAAAGAATACCTGTGGCGCATCAAAAACAGATGCCCTCGCACCTAGAAACAGACAAGAATTCTGCTACGCAAACTCTTGGATGTGGATAGGAAATTCGAAGTTAACACTTTGGATATGTGTAGAATCACTGTACCTGATATAGATCATAGGCTGGCTTAATATAAAACCAATCAAATTCATTTTCGAAGAAAACATATTTTTTCTATTGGTCAAACATGTGGCTGTTCTGTCTATCGGTGAGACAAAATGTCGTGCTCGCCTGGCCCGTGCACATATAGGTTGCCGTCTGTGATAATCAGTTACCTACGTATGCGTTGGGTTGCAGCTTCAAAGTTCCAACAATATGGTTTGCTGGGTCTCCCAAAGTTTCATACTTCAGAAATCAAGCTCCAACTTGTTCAGCCATTTCCGTTTCCTCGATTCTCTCTCAAAAATTAAGCCAGCTATATCTAACCTTGTCAAATCAAAGAGAAACCTTTGACAAATAGCGTATGCGTCGTTCCAGTGCCCCATCAGTGCATAATCTGACTTCGTACTTTCGATCTTAGAACAGCAAAAATATAGAAGGTAAATAAGGCTGAAGACCAATTCGAGCACATAGTGCCTTGCTAGTACTGCATTATTCTCACCACCAAGAAACAAGGACGGTTCATTTCCTATGAAGCATACCCCTAATCATTATGCTCCTATAAGCTCTCGCCCTCAAATTCCAATAACTTCTATGAACGATCCAATTAAAAACTACTGCTACAGGCATCAACCAAATTCAAAATGTAGAAATACAGCCGATGAGCCATCTATGGAACTTTTACAAAAAGTGAGTCATTCTTTTCCTCAAAGGCAATGAGTTAAACAAAAAAGGACCTTGAAACACTTTCACAGAGTGATCAAAAGAGTATTTCGCTAGTTTGGTCTCTCTTCTCTACTGCATCTGCAAAACGTAGACACCTTATGCTTCAAGGCATTCTAGCACAATGTTGTTTCCCCCAGCTATCATATCTATCTACTACTGTCAGGGAATTGATCCGCATAGATTTCATAACGGCGCTACCTACTGAGATTTCTGTAAGAATATTGTGTTTTCTCGACACGAAATCCTTGTGTAAAGCTGCTCAAGTGAACAAAGGGTGGAAAATACTAGCCGAAGATGATGTCATATGGCACCGTATGTGTGAGCAACATATTCACAGAAAGTGCACCAAATGTGGATGGGGCCTGCCATTACTTGAACGAAAAAAACTAAGAACATGGAAGCGCCAGAAAGAATTACACACTACTGATCTTAGGTCTAAGACAAAATCACCAGTTCCTCAAGCCTCGCTCAATATAAATGATAGTCCCGCAACAATACAGCTTTCTTCGAAGGCTTGTTCTAAAAGAATGGTCGACGAGCTTGATTCCGATAGTTCTGCTGCTGAAACAAGTTTAAGTCGATCTAAATGGAACCAGCGTGATGATGCAATGAAACCAAAATTTCGACCATGGAAAGAAGTTTATAAAGATCGATTTCAAGTTGGCTCAAACTGGAAGTATGGGCGCTGCTCAACAAAAGTATTCAGGGGTCATCTGAGTGGAGTATCTTGTCTCCAGTTCGATGATAATGTCCTTGCTACTGGATCCCGTGATTTTACCATCAAAATATGGAATCTTGAGAAGGCAGAGTGTATTCGCACGCTCCGAGGACACAGGTCTGGTGTCGAAGCTCTTCAGTTTGACAACCAAAAACTCATCAGTGGGAGTCTTGACAAGACTATACGTGTTTGGAATTGGCGAACAGGAGAATGTATTAATCAATACCTAGCTCATGAGTCTGGGGTCATTGCTCTTAATTTCGTGGGTAACTTACTTGCTTCTGGATCAATGGATACAACTATAAAGGTCTGGAACTTTGAGGATAAATCTGTATTTGCTCTTCATGGTCATACAGACTGGGTCAATGCCATAAAGGTGGATGAGGCTTCACGGACTCTTCTTTCTGCTTCTGACGATCGATCTATACGTCTCTGGGATCTTGACAACCACCAAACTATTCAGGTTTTCGATGGACACGTAGGACAAGTACAACAGGTTTCATTTTTACCCAAAGAGTTTGAGTTTGATCATATTGATGGCTCAGAGCCAGAGAATGGTAGTATTATAAGCATTACTTCCGATACTCAATCTCGCTCCTCTACTCTACCATCAACTTGGTATGATATATGGCCAGCTACAAGGCCAAAGCCTCCACGCTACATACTTACCGGAGCTCTAGACTGTACAGTACGCCTATGGGATGTATCCACTGGTTTGTGCCTTCGGACTTTTTTTGGCCATCTAGAGGGAATTTGGGCGCTTGCAGCTGACACACTTCGAGTTGTCACAGGAGCTGAAGATAAGCTGCTTAAGGTCTGGGATATTCGCAGTGGAAGATGCGAGAAAACATTTTCGGGCCACGTTGGGTCTATAACTTGCATTGGACTAAGCGATAGTCGGATGTGCACAGGCAGTGAGGATTCAGAAGTAAGAATGTACAGCTTCAAACATGAAGAAAGCAGAACTATCTCCACCATGCCAACCAGTATAGAAGACTTTACATAAACAACTTGACCTGATCTTACTGACTAGTATTAATATATGGGAACCGGTTCCAATTCTACACCAGCTTATTGGATTGAAAGATTAGGTTAAATAGGAGGCAGATATCTACGGCGTTTGGGGGTTTAATGTCTTAGCAGTCTAGCGATAGGGGCAACATTGGTGTTTAGCGAAAATTGTAATGAAACTAAGCTAGTTCCATCATTTTATTTGAAATTTTAAACGAAACGAAATGTGCCTTACACCTGTTACGAGTGAGATGATAAAATGGGACCTAGTATCCAAATGCTAGCTACATGACTGGCAACATAGCTCTAAGAAAATACTGAAGCTGCAGTATTACGCGCTGGATCCATTTCTACTGCCCCATATATAATCGCATTATTGGTTAACACAGTGTTATAATATCCCATCATGCTCACTTTTAGATAGGCAAAAACATTTCATCGAACTCATGCGGTTTGAAGGCTTCTGCGGTACATTTTTTTCGTTTCATTTCGACTGCTCGAGGTGGAACTAATTATGTGCAGTTTCTACATCATTTCAAAAAAGGTCGACTCTTTTGAAGTGCCAGGGCTTTTGCTCTCAACCATTGACTCATTTAAGGTTTTCAGCTTGGCCAAGAATCTCCCGCAATACTAGATATAAGCATAATGACCGGCTCTAGCGGTCATCATATAATGACATGTTCGTCTTGGTAGGTAAAGCCTTGATGGATGCTTCTGGCACATACAAATATCTAAGTCATTATATCTTTCCGGTTGATACCACCGCCATCTAGTCTGTAAAGGCTTTTGGCCAATCAATCCCATTCATTTACACAATGGTTCAAAGGTCAAACTTTAATTTTCCCGCAGTGTTGGGCTGCGGTAAGCTATTCATTACAGAAAGCTCCTCGAGCAAATTTGGCCATTATTGGACTGCTATATCTCTTTATATTATTGTGCGGTTAAAAATCTAACGGATATCTGTATGCTGATACCTTATTCTCATGATGATGAATGTGACAATTCAAGGCCACGAAGATTTAGCCAGCCCGCTGCTAGGAGTCTTCGCGGCACCAAGCAAATTATGATGGACTTAGAGTAAAGATAGGCTTTATCAGAGGAACAGATCATGTGCTAATAAATGTAATTTTGAACGTTGAATGACGGATCATGCTACTGGATTACGAGCCATGCCCTAACTAAACACTACAAATATTAGCTAGTATTCCTCAGTTTACATGAAAAGCGAGTCGTAGAGGCGATCTATTAAATAAGGATCCATGCTTTGATCGCTCGGGTCAGTTACAAAGTGATATTCAGCTATGTAGCAGATATATATATATGTTGACTGAAGTAGGTAGGCGGATCATTGATTGGAGAATTCGGACTTGTATGAGACACAACTCGTATTACCACTATTGGATATCAGTTCAATACTAATTTTTTGGAGAGATGTGTCTGATGTATTCGAGGTATCTTCGGCTTTCGAACTTTTGTGGGTGATAAGACCAAGGTTTCAGCAAATTAGCTAGGACTTCTATTGCTGATGAATTTACGGCACTCCCGATTTGTTATGAATTTATTAAGACTAATCTGGATTTAGTGGTGCAGGGGTTATCTTCTTGATTCGGTCAGGTCTGAGGCAACGGGATTTAGATTTGTTCAGACTAGAAATTTGAATTTGCTCTTCAGTTCTAGCAATTTTTTTGGTTTTTAACAATTTGCTTATTTGGCACTCGCTATTTGGATAATATGATAATCTGAACATCTGAATTCGTAACCTTTGATAATCCGAGCCTCGGTTACCTCATTTGTCTCTTTGCAACCAATTCGCACCTTCGCACCTCCGTAATTTCGATAATTTATCTTCGTCGAAATCGAATCGACCTCTGCAGCTTAACAGCTTCGAAAATCTGCCAATAAGTAGATTCATAACACCAGTACCCCAGATGGCAATCATACTCCGTCAAGACTTTTCTGACATTTCAGCACGATTTTCGGGAAGGAGTTGGAAGGAGACTAGAAAGGCAGAGAGTGAATTTCCCAAGGTACACACAAGTCTGCGCCGCTCAGCTGCCCGGCCTCTTCGAACGCATCAGAAGGATCACTATGTCTTCGGATTTAGTCCTAATGTCGGTATTAGGAGAGCTCCGCACCCAGTGGTTTGTGCGAATTTTCCCGGCTGCCATACACCCGCAAATGGCCATCGTTTCGTTGGCTGGAGAGGGGGGACATTGAAGGGCAAAGGGCACTTCTTAGCAAATGATAGGATGAGGACTTGTGAGGGGTGGTACTGTTTGAGGGGAGCTGTATGGGAGGCATATGAGGGGATATAACACTGTTATCGGTAACTTTGGCCTGTAGGCAGAGAGGACCTGTATGTCCTTAACTATTCATAGACTGATTAGGAAAACAAACCCCAAAAATACTGATTTTTCTACACTTTGCATTTGTTGCACAATGTCCCCAATCAAATAATGTATATGAGTTGAGAATGCTTATTTGAAAGGGATTTAAATGTTGAGTTGCGACAGTAGATCATTGATACGTTTATGTCCCCTTAAGTCGATTTTGTAAAGATTTCCTATATTTAGAGGTTACTATATTAATGAAATTAAGCCCGATGAATTAGAATTTAAAATTCAAACTATAATAATATGCACACTCACCACGGGATATGATTGACCCATATCATGAATTATTGGTATTATCATGGGCATTTCATGAGAAATATTTTTTTCGGAGCAAAGAGGATGGGGGCAGTGTATAAGGTGTGATCTGAGTTAAAGATCTCAATATGCTAGATAGTTACAGACTCAAGTAGCACTATAAATACTCACATACTTACTCGCTAAATTGACGTGGCTTGTCTTGCTAGTGTTGTGAAATTTTCTACCACCACCTCCTGAAGCAACTTCGTTAGGCCGCTCTGTTGAGTTCTTGCAGCCGTAGAGTTATCGAGGAGCATTTTGATCGGACCGTAGCCTACTATTTGTATGGCAATTTCGAGAGCTTTATAGGTACCTAAGATGTCGGCATTGTAGACCTCGGCTCCCAGAAGAGGGCTAGAGCCACTTCCAATAATCTGGCCTCCTCTGTTTGGGGTGTGCTCCCACATAGATCTAGCTGGTCCACATGATGAGCCGTCCGAATAAACACACACTGTCTCGGATTATAGGCTTGCTATACAATGTTTTGCGTACGCTACCTTATCTCGGTTGGCACGCTAAGTGAGTTCTTTTGCAAGCTTGCACATTGGAAAATATATTCTAGCGGGACTGTAATGGCTAGTGAGCCGATAATTGTCCTGTATCACGTGATGGTAGTCACGTGCCTCAACAATTCTGTGAAAGGCGAAACTTCACCCTAGTTTATCCTGAACATGGCTAGAGGATTCTAGCAACTGGCATCGAGACTGTGAACTGGTATCAGGGAAACATAACAGAGGCTAGTATCAGACAGGAAGGAATATTCTAGATAGCCTAATAAGTGTATAAATAGTTGAGTTAGGACACACATATTGTGGTATAGAAAGTAATAAACAACCTTCGTATATTTGATCGCCCCAGCATCTATACCTCGAACTGTGACAGGGACCTTCTGCAATTGGCACGTCTTTTGCAGTTATTTGGAACCTCGTGAAGTACCTTTCGGGGATTTTGAATGAACGGTTCCTTTGAAATTTACGGAGATCAAGGTAGATTGTGATATCCTTAGGCCCCTTCCTAGATCTGAGTACAAGAGGATGCCTTACATCCAGCCTTTGATTCCTTCCGGCAGCTAGGAATTGTGTTCGGATTAGATCCTGGTCAACGATGTCTAGCCTAATTGTGCTATGTTGCAGGCTACTGTTACAATTATTCATGGGGCCATCATCAGGGTTGTGAGTAGTTTCGGCTTTGGTGTGGGTTGTTAGATTGATACCTAAGCGTGTTGCATAGTAGTCAGACATGCGACTCGAGTAGCATATGCACGGTAAACCTCAACTCCAAAATGATGATACGAATCAAATTTTATATGCTACGTCCTGTATGGCTAGCGTGGTTGGAATATGGGAAATTTATCTGTAGATAGATAAAGACGTTGTAGCCCTCTGATAGTTGGGACAAGTCTTCTACAATATTATATCGGAATCAAATCTAGCCACTCATTAAGCAATCTCATGAATTATTTCCAATGTCTGTGATAACAGACATACATATACAATATCGACAACAAGTTTTAAAGTCGATAAAATTGTCTCTACTATTGTATTATAGCAGATGATGGGATACCACACACATAGTGCCTCCTGAATGTAGTTAAGGATAGTACTGTCAAGGATATGGGTATGACAGCCCAGATCTGTTCTGACCTTTTTGTTGCGCTGAGTTGTGATTTGGTTGAGGCCTGACCATCATGCATGTGCTCTGTTAAGCGCTGTACTGAGAACACAAGCCTATAATACCTTGATTAGCGGTTCCAGGGCTGCATCATGCTGAGCCGAATTCGCCTGTCGTGTAAACTAAGTAATACGTTGCGGCTTCTCGCTCCAGTCCTAGACGTGTTGCTTGACGTTGAGTTGCGAGTCTATCCACATTCTAAAATTTCTAACGTACGACGATGGTGCTATGCTGTGGCCTTGGATCTAGACAGCCAGTCATAAAGTATATAGTTTGTTATTCGGATCTCCTCTAATTACAACTAGCTCAAAATTTTCCGGATTTAAGTCTGTAAAGTTTTGGCTTGCTAATTAGATAGGTGTCAAATTGGAGCGTTGGCGTTTGACCTGATGTGGAATAGAAGGGCGAGAAGAGGTCGGATGGATCGCGAGGGATGACTAAAGATCTACTGGAGATAATTTGGAGAACTAAAGGTTTAAAATGGGTAATACAAGTGTCTAAAGAGTCTAAAGATACGAGCAAATACTAGTGGTGGCTAAGGGTGCTAAAGGTAACTAGAGGTGACTATAGGTGACCAGAGCTGATCCGAAGGTGGTGGTTATGACAGAAGACTAAGCGTGAAGAACTCTATAGC